GTTTAACCGTTTTACCTTTACCTAACTAACTTACGTTACGTTCTTCTACTTACTTTAACTTTAGTTAGTAGTAGTAGTAGCACTAGTAGTAGTAGTACGTATACTACTATATATATATATATATATATATATATATGTTAGCCTTGAGCCAACCTTGGTTTGGCCACGATCCAGCTCATTAGCAGCCAGAATTCTAAAACCCTGGAACCTCCATCAGATTCACCCAAGGTACTTGGACTTGGCAAGGTGCCGAGTCCGTGCAGGAACATGACAAATTAAGCCAGTTCCTATAGTTTGGTATTATAATTGTACAGACTCGATAGAGTCTCTGACACACTCGACCGAGTCTGTGTGGACACTTTGGACTCGTGACCTTGCCGAGTCCTGTGTCCGAACCTTGTTTTTGAAGATTGCATGTCAGAGAATTAGAAGAGAGTAGGAGAAAGGAAGGATTGTCACTTTTCAAAACGAGAGTAACGCGAGAAGAAATTCATATGGATATGATATTTATCCTCAAAGGAAACAGCCACACTCTTAAGAGATAGTACATTAACATTAATTACAAGAATACACTTAGGAGTTCCTTATTGCTTCCAAAACACCTTCATCCTTCTCATTCTTAGTGTCACAATAATGCATGATTGCAGCTCCTGATAGCACCGCTAGAGTCAAAGCCTGTGCATGCATCCTGGAAAAAACCCCAATCAGAAAATAACAATTTGGGCTTTTGGAAAACTTTTTGCCATTAAAAAAAGAAATTTCACATGTTAAGAAATGCTTCATCTACATCTGCCTATGGATCCTTAATGGAAAACAAAAGGGTGGGGTCCTTCCAATGGCTAGGAAATTTAGGAATTTCCAAAACAAGTTTTTAAATTCAATTGATTCCCTACTCATCTTTAGTTGCTCTTTTAAATTATGGTGAATAAAAGAAACGAACGACTCAGTACACTATGCAACACCTCTTCACATCCAAACAATAGATGAATAGCTCTCCCAACAGCTTCTTGTTATCATCGGACGCTTGAGGGAGTTGCACCTTGTTTGCATCAGAACAGGTACTATAGTTCCTCAAGACAGACCACTAACCAGGAAAGAATCACAAGGAAAGGCCAAAATATAAAGAAAAGTAGTTTTATAGGGCTGCAGCCTTATCAAAATAGTAGAGCCCCACATCATAACTCATCGAGAATTGTAGTTCAAACGTTGAAAAACCTTTATATCATTTATATCAATCATCTCGGCTTGAACTTTATGGTTGTGAAAGAAAGTTAAGATTTCAAGCTCTCAAAATAGTGTATGTTGTAATAAATTATCTAGACCATAAATTTCGCTCTAAAAATAAACATGCATAGATCCCCAAGATCTGTACCATTATCTGAGTTTCAAAATTTATTGTCGGTGTTGAAAATTTATTTTAGAACCATCATAGAGATTTCCATTGCCGAAAGTGCTTTGAGGACTTAGATTTGAGGTGTGGTTTTTTTTTGTTTTTATATTGCCTAGGCCTTATGGAAACTTCATCCAAATATAAAAGGCCAAGAGAGAGAGAGAGAAATTTATCAAAGTAACCATGAGGACGCAATATTTAGCATTTTACACTTCGACTTGGAATGGTCCCATTCTGATTCCCCCATGCTACATTAAAAGGAAGAAGAAAGAACAAATCGATTCCGGCGATTCTAGGTGTTTTTCGCCCAGAATCGCCAACCTTGGTCTTATTCCCGAATCGTTCTATAACCAACCATTTTTGGAAGATGCTTTGTACCATTTGTACATGTAGGGTTAAAGTTTAACTAGGACATGAACATAGCTCAAAAACATGAAATACCTAGCATGTATGAGCCGTAGGCTCATCTTCAATGGTGTCCTTGAACGCGAATAAGCATAGGAGGCGCCCAATGCAGTAGCCCACAAAGAGCCTATTTCACATAAATCAACAAATGTCAGAAGCCAAGACTTCGAGCTTAAGAAGAAATGAAAGCAAGCTACAATTTTCTGGTGTTTTCTCTCTACTTTGAAGTTTTAATGTTTTTTCAGCTAAAGTTTAGGCATTTAAAGTTTTCGTCATAGCTAATAATCCAAAAGGAGGATATATTGCATACATATAAAAAGGAAAATAATCTTTTTTCTTACAAGTAACATGAAAAGGAAAGAAAAAATTTGAGCATTTTCAACCATTCTAAATTTCAATTCATTTTTGCCAAGATTTGGGCATTTAAAACTTAGCTATACATCTAATTTATCGACTATTTGACATTTTACCATTCTTTCAAATATTCCAACTCATGATCATCTGTATTTTGGGGGGCTTTTGAAACAAAATAACAAATATGAGTAAAATGTGAAATAGCTAATCTATCAATTGCATTTTGATAAATTTCCTTAGAACTTTTGATCCAGGCAATTACTCAGAAGAAAATAAAAATGAGTAAAACCAGGGGAATAAGAAAGCAACAATGTTAAGCATGCTTGTTTCTTCTTACCCACTGTGGTGAGCTTGTGTTCCGAAATCCAACGGCCGAGAGAGGAGGAAGCAGTAGAAGAAGATGAAGCCATAACAAGGAGTGATGAGCAAATGAAGCGTGGGAAAGTTAGGCAAAAGTAAAGTGAAAAGTTAGCGAGGGGATAAAGGGGTATTTATGGTGTTTGGGAGCCAGTTGTTTTGGAAAACCCTTGGACATGGGGATGGATAAAAACCTTGGATTAAGAGGCAAGTTGTTTTACAAAACCAGGGGGGAGAAGGTGGCAGTTATTGACGACAGTTTCACTCCAGTTTTAGAGAAGAGTCTTGTTCCTGATTTAGTAGCAAAAAGTAAAAAAATGGGCCCCTCCCCTGGTTTTTCAAAAATTCCAAAGTGTTGACACCAGTTTTAGAGAACTTTGTCAAAGGAGTCTTGTTCCTGATTAAGTAGCAAAAAGTACAAAAAAAGGGCCCCTCCCCTGGTTTTTAAAAAACTCCCAAGTGACTTACCTTTGGATCCGTGAAAGTGACGGTCAACCTGTGCTTATGCTTATCGACAAGACACATAATGCTATGCCCAAGCAAAGTAAGAGAGAGAGAAAGCGTCAGGTGTCCGCAATGCTGCATATCAATGGCTACCCCTCAATACTCTCTCTCCCTCTCTTACTTACCATAAAATTGTTAGGAGGAAAGCCCATTTTCCCTACGGTTATCAAAATAAGTAAAGCCTCAATTTTCTTTTTTTTTTTTAACTAAAGCTCCAACTTATAACTCATTGAAAATTAAGATTTAAGCATTGGAAAACTTTCATATACATTATCTCGGCTTGAATATGGTTGTAAAAAAAACATGTCTAGACCGTGTATTTCTCTCTAAAAATAAATGTTTAAAGAACCATAAGATCTGTATAATTTTTTAGTTTCAACATTTATGTCAGTGTTGAAAATTGAATTTAGAATCATCATAAAGATTTATGTTGCTGAAAGTGCTGTCCAGACCGAGATTTGAAATGGGGCTTCATTTGATTTTTATAAACCGAGGCCTTATAAAAACTTTTTCAAAAAAAAAAAAGAATTTGCTCCCCCTTTCTTTTCTCTCTCTCTAGCACAAAAAAAAAGAACTAAGAATTTGTTCCCCCCTCCTTTTCTCTCTCTGTAACATAATAAAACTAAGAATTTGCCCTCTCTCTATATATATAATTTGAGAAAATAGGCATTATCTTTTCGTGTGGGCACGTGCTCATCACTAGGAAGTGTGTGCACGCATGTGCAAGAGTGAAGAGGGGGGTATCATACTAGCTCCCATGTTTTATGTACTGTTCCCTGATTTTTATTGCTTAAGGCGAGGTTTACAGAGCTTGGAATTAATTAATTATTTATTTAATCTCTCATTCTCTCAATGCTGAATAAGGCCTTATTTTATTTTATTTTATGTTTTTTAATTAGAGGGTTGGGAGCAGCAGTCGAATCCCCTTCAGTAATGATTTGACTACCCGTTCCTTGACTGCTCTTCTCAGCTTCGTTGATGTGGCAGGTGGGTAGCTCCCCATAATACAAAGCTTGGAAATGTTGATACAATTTAACTCATTTGGGGTGCTTTAATTTGGACCCAGCCATTAGATGTCAAGAATGGATGGCTATGGTGCTATAACCCGGCTTAGTATGTGTGGCCTTAAAAACTAAGGCCTCGACTACAAAACGTGGCCTAATGTTGGGCCTGTGTTCGTAAAATCGAATCGGAACGGTTAACCGGTCATGAGTTGGGAGCGGTTCGAATTAGAACCGGACTAATCGGAGTGGTTAACCGGACTAATCAATCAAGTTGATTTTTTTAAAACAAAATGGGTCAAAACCGCCCAACAAAAATAAAAAATATATAGAAAAACTAAGATTAAGTGTACACTATCACATTACATACATTTATCTTATAAAAAAAAATTGAAACAACTTTTTAAATAATTTAATAGTTGAATATTATGGAGATATGCAAGACAATTTATAATTTTACATAATTTCAATTGATGAAGTTACAAAGTCCAACTAACAATGGACGATGCAACAATATATATGCTTCTATATTGTTTTAATGTTGATGTTGAAAAATGTTGTTTTAATGTTGAAAAACCCTTCAATACGGTTTACAATTGGGTTTGAGAGCGTATTTTTTTGTAGTATGATGTTCCCAGTTTGTTGAAGGGTTGTGAGTCAAGGTAGTAAGAGAGAGCACCTCATTTACTCCGTAACTTGGTTATCAAATGCAGGGTGTGGGTCAAATCGTATATTTTTAAAAAAATATGGCCAAGTCGATTTCAAATGGCCAAATCGATTTTGAAATAGGCAAACCTTATTTACTCAGTAACCTTTCGAGTTGGGTTTTAACATGAAAAAAAAAAACTTATATGAGATGGCAACTTTAAAATTTAGAATTAAGATGCATATTAAAAAAAAAAAAGTTAATTTTTCATCCATTTCAGCAAGTGGAAGCATCATAGATGAGTAAAACACTTTTTAGTTTCTACCTCTTTTCTTCATAGAGGCTAATAAACATATTTAAAGAGTATGAAGTTGCAATAAATGATAGATAGCTTGTAACAAATTAAAAAACAAATTAGAAGAAAATGTCATAACTAAACAAGAAGTTGAGAACACTGACAACAGTAACATGCACCAAAAATAACCTTACAAAGAAATAAATTTTGTTTTCATATTCATCACAAAAAAAAATATTTTTATATAAAAAAAATATAACATTAAAACCAATCCCACAAGCTCACCAAAAATATATAACATTAAAAAGAAAGAAACATATATTTGTAAAAAAAAATAATAATAAAAAAAAACGATCCAAAAAGATCACCACAAATATATAAAATTAAAAAAATAATATATTCTTTTTTTTCTCATATTCATCACAAATAACATATTTTTATAAAAACAAAATGTAATTTTATTAAAAAACAAATTTTTTTTAAGAACCCTAAAATCGAGCCAAAGAACACAAACTTTTGAGTCAAAATCAACCCCAAATCTTTCATTTTTTTAACAAATTGACATGGATATGATAGATACTTTAATTAAGCTTCAAATTCCACAAATTTCATGAAGATTCATTCACTATTGAGATCTTTATTAAAAAAATTGCAGATTTTTCACTTCACGAAAATTTCAGGAAAAAAAATGCCGCAAAAACAAATCGATATAAAAACATTTAATCAATAGTAAATCAAAATAACTAGTTTATTTGATACACAAGGCCTTTATGATCAAACTTTAGTGATCAATTCGATAAAAATCAATCAATTGGTCGATCAGAAATCAATTTGTTTGGATAAAAAACAGTTCTTCGAGCAGCAGTACTTCGGGCCCAAACAAACCTCAAATCTTCATTGTTTTGGAAAAATTGAAATATGTGAACGTTGAATCCTTTAACAATGAATCAAAGCCCTCCATTTTGTAAAAATATATGAGGCATTGAAGCAAGATTTGATAGAATGGCGGAAATTTCTAATTTTCAAAAATCTCCATTTCAATCTGCCAAGAACTCTTTGTTTTTGGAATTTTGATTCAATAATCGACGATTTATAGAAACTGTGCGGTGTATAACATCAATAGTTGACCGAAAAAAACAAAAATATGCCAAAAAAGCCTGCAAAATCTTGTTTATTGAAAAATAACGGACATGTATCAAATAACGATCGTTGTTTGATGCGTTGAAAGCTCCGTTATATCGGGCGTTAAAACGGTACCAGACCAGTTAAAAAAACCGGCTGGTATAGATTAAAAACCGCCGGTTCGTCCTCGAACGGACCGGTTTTTTGTGCTGATTTTTTTTTGGAGAGTGTTGTCTTATGAGGCGTGCCGTAAAACTGGCCTTAACCGGACTCGCCACCCCACCGATAGCGATCTAACCGGCCGATTTTGCAAAAACTGGCTAGGCCAGTTAGTTGTAGGTCTGGAAGGAGTGTTTTTCTTTTTTCCTAGATTTTTCTTTGAGTCTATCAAATTGGGCCCAGCCTAGCCTAGCCTAGCCCAAAATGGTTGAAAAAGAGCCCCTCGGCCCAATTGGGCCAAACCGGGTTAGGGCCGGTCCTATAGAGACCCAGACCAAGACTAGGCCCAGCCTATTGCCAACACCTACACACAGGAATGAGACACACACGCAATGCGGCTTAAGAATTGACACACTTGCATATACCATCGCATTTCGTTCTTGGTATTTGATAGCTTGGGTAAATATTAAAAGAAAATGTTTTAATAGGGTTCAACCCTATTAAGTAAAACCCCACCTCAAAAATCTCAAAATTGTAGTTATGACTTCAAATCGATCATCTCGACCTTTTAAACAAGGATTCGAGGTGAGGCTTTACTTTCGTTTCCATAAAGCCTAGGGCTTATAGAAATTGGGAATCTAGTGTTGACATTTGAGGGCTGGAATAATGTAAAGGATCCATAGTTATCAAAAACACTGAAACAGTGATTCGACCGATCGGACGGCCGACAGTCTCACATAAGCACTAAATTAATATTTATTGTGAATCGATCAAAACCAATAGTTGACCGATTGAATCGGTTTAACCGTCGGTTTTGCGGCTCAATATTTCCCCCAATCTCTCCTGCGATTTTTTGGCATGATCTTTTTCTTCTTTGTTTTTCCTATATTTTAATTTTAATTGCACATGATATTTTATTTTAGAAATATTTAATTCAAAAGACCTAAAGATTTTGGCAAAAATCATCACGCTAAAATGGCTAAAATGAAAATTTTTCTACTTACCATTTTGACATGCATTCTTCATTTTTGTGCTCAACGTTTCAGTTTTATTTAAAAAATTTATTTCCCTCTCTTCCACTTGTTACTCTCTTTAATGAGGACAAAGGTGCCTCTGCATCTTCTTCACTCATGCACTTCAACTTTAGAAACTTTAGAATAAGGATGCCATAGGTTATATTAATTTTGGTATAATTAACTAAATTTTAAATTCTCTATTTTTTTTTATTTTATTTTTATTATTTTTTTAAATTATCATAAATATATCTTAATTTTTGTTTATTTAAAAAAAAAACCTCAACTTTCATAAAATTCATTCACACCCTTTTACTTCAATTTTGAATGTTTTACGGTAGTCGTTGTACCATAATAACTAGTGCATCTTATACAGTATTTAAAATACTGTAATAACTTGAATTAATATTACGTAAAACCTAAGCCAACATTTGACACAGAAAATGGAAAGACACTTAAAGACATAGAACAAAGGCGTTTGAAGGCGGCAACATGGGTAAGAGAACAGAAACGCCATTGAATATCACCCACCCTGAGCGACCCCTCTCTCTCCCTGAAAAAACCCATCTGGCTCATGTCCCCCAAACTTCCATTCTCTCCTCATTCTCAGCCTCAATCTCTCTGTCTAAACTATTATCTTATCATTCTCAGCCTCAATCTCTCTCTCTTCAAGAGATTCTCGTATTCCCCAATCTCTGCCTTTAAATGATTCTCTTATGCCCCAATCTCTCTCTCTAAACTATTCTCATATGCCCCTCACTTCTCCTCTATCTCTCAGCCCCTCTCTCTCCCTCTAAATGCCAAAAACCAACAAACAAATATCTTTATGGCAAATAAAAAAGGCCTGATTCAGATACGAAAATCTTCAGTAAGTGTCTATGAGCATTTGGGTTTTAGCGAAATATCGGAATGTTGCAAAAATTTACAAGTTGGAGAAGCTATTGTCACTCCCAAAGAATAAAAGCTGCAGAAACTGCCACAATCAGCAGATGCTCAAGACACCTCACCATTCAAATAAGATGTGGGTAGTCTTCACAGTACTTAAGTACCGTGATGCTTGGCCTTCTTTGTCCTGTTGTAGTTAAAATGCAGTATAATATGGCTTAGGTTTTAAGGTACTTAAAGTACCGTAATATTAATTCAAATTATTACGATAACACGATTATTATGAAGGTTATTTTGATCACAAAATGATCAAAATTGAAGAAAAATAGTGTGGACGAGTTTTATTAAAGTTAGAGGTTTTTTTTCTAAATAAACGAAAATTAAGGTATATTTGTGATAATTTCCCATGTTTTTAAAGAGATTTTGAGAACTGTAGACCTTGTTTAAAATTTTTAAACTATAGTTTAAAATTCATATATTTTCTCCAAATGGCCAAATGGGTGAGTGGATCACCAATTCAATCCAATTGATTTGGGACCAATGGGTGACCTGCTTGGATGTGACTTTTAAATACTGGATGTACATGTTGACGTTAATGCTTAATGCTAGTATGGTGCATGTAAATGGAAGGCAGAAAATTGAGCATGACTCTTATGAACTTCATAGAAAAAAAATAAATAAAAACGAATCAATCAGATTCGATGAAATAAATAAATTAAAATCACAATCTGCCAATGTTAAGAGCTCTATAAAAACTAAAATGGATCTCAATACACTGTAAGAATAACAAACATACCTCTTGACTAAAACAATAAACGATTTCCTGCATAAACCCATATCAAAATTTTGGTAAACTTGTTCTCCCTCCCTTCCTATGTGCTTTGATCCCCATGATCTGTCATAGAAGATTCAAAAGGTGGTATTGCCAAAACAATTGAAAATTACTTGTATACAGGTATCTGAGGGCTTATCACTGCCTAAGGTAAGTATAAACAGGCCTGTTATCCTTCCATGAACGCCATGCTTTCCTAACTTCATCCAGTTCAGCATCTGGTATACTTGCATACCCAGTCCATCCAAGGTGGTCTTGATGGATCCAGAAAAGCTGATGAGACTTGAGGTAACAATACACTTGAGTAAAAATTCTCAATGGCTTCATTTATCTCTTTGGACTCGATCAATCTGAAAACTTCAGGCTTACTACCGCAAGGCAAGTTTCTCAAGGAATATTTGTTTCCCTTCAATATGAGAACTTCAGAAGGGGCAATAGGTAGGACCATACGTGAGAATTTTGTGAGAGAAAGGTCTATGACGTCATGTGGTAATAGTGCACGTTTCACTGCAATTGCTGCCGCCACCATTTTACGGATCTGCCAATGAAAAGAAAACATAATTTATTAGACTATGTAACTAATTCAATAAGCAATTAACGACTTGAATATCAAAAACTTAAATATCAATGTCGGTATATATGCCCTAAAAATCAACACATGCTTGTGAAAATCCTGATATAAAATAATATGTAGACGAGTTGACATAAATAACTACCATTCTAATGGAACCGAAGGAAACAAAATCAACCAAATCATAGGTGGAAAACAGAGCAGAAAAAGGTCCATTCACTTAGCAAGTGAACAGAAAGAGGAGAGTATGTACTCACTTGATGTAGCATAAATGATTCCCCACACACACAAATCTCAAGAAAAGGCATTTCATTTGAGGTTTCCAGTTTGCCACAGGTAAATGAGAAGATCTTTCTAAAATGAGAACCACTAATTAGGTCCTTCTCATCAGGCTCATGCACCCATTTTGCTCGAACTCGAGGAGCCGCAACGTCATTGGACAGTTCAAAATTATTATCAGGCATTTCAGAATAATCAAGTCCTTTGTCATCACTCTGCTCGTTGTCAGTGGTTGCTCTCCCAGACTCCTCTTCCTCATCACTCTGCTCATCCTCTGCATCTGATTTTTCCTTTGAAGAAATTGTTCCTTTGGAGAAATTACTACCACCACAGTGTCTTCTTCTATATTTTGATCTTGCAGTATAGTTATGGAAAGGATGATCTCCCTGCAAAAGCCAACCAGAATCATCATTTTTATTGCTGCTGAGCAGGTGCTGATCATTTAATAAGGGAAGTCATAATACCTAGGACTACAGGAAAACCATTATAGATTGGGTTATCACCATCATCATCACTCTGGTCATCATGTCCACTGAATGGACCATGATGACCCAATGCAAAATAAACAGACATGAACCCATTGATGGGACACCCCAGAACAGATATGACCCGAATGGCAGGTCCCATTATCTCTCTCCATAATTCTCCATCATTTCATTGCATAGTCTTGATGAAATGGACAATAGTTTGATCATAGCGTATAGGATTATAGTATATGTTCCCTATATAATATAGAAAAAAATTATATAAGGTGCAACCTTATAATATAGAAACCCACCGAAAAATTTGCTCCAACACTAGTAAACCTCCTAATTAATCATCTCGACTGAGGATGTATAGCTATGAAAGAAGGATTTTAAGTAATGAAAATAGTACATCTCATAACACATTACATGGACCATCCATTTTCAAGATTTTAAGTGTTCATAAATTTGCTTGATCTACACCATTTTTGGAGTGTAAAAATCTCACAATTCAGGATGAAATTAGATTTTTAGACTATCACAGGGCTTTTTAGTGCCTGTACTGTACCTTTTGATATGGTTTGGGGTGCTCCTTACTTTGATTGTTTAAGGTTGACACCTTATACAAACCACACCCTTTAATATACTAAATAAACATAAAATATATTTGAGGACTTGAGGACTTGGAAGCCACAATAGTTGGGTTCCTTTCTCTTTTCGTTACCTTTTCTACTTCTGAATACTGAAATACTCATTCAAAATATAAACAAATATATAGGTGCTTTTCAAAAAATTGTCAATCTCACCTCAAACGTTTTTAATATATTGTTGAACTCTAGCAGATGGCGTTCGATTTCCCCAGGGCCACACTGATTAGTGATTCCTATAATTTCAGCTGGAAGAAGATAGGAATACATCCGGGCTATGCATTCTCTTCTTGCATCAAAGCTCCTAATGGGGAAAAAATAGTTACACACAGTGCAAGAATGTAAGAAACGGCAGAAAAAACAATAAAAACCAAAGGGCAATATATTGTCAAATTACCATGACAAAAAGCTTTGAAGAAGATAAAAAGGTGATCACCAAAGAAAAGGTTATCCGACAGACTTATCCAACCAACCCCCGCCCTTCTCTTACTGTAGCAGTACAAGAATTCCCATATGCACAAGCACATGCAATGCTTCTGCCTGGCTCTGACTTTGTAATCAATTAGATATTCAGCTTTTGCATGATGTAGCGTGTACATTGAGAGAAATAAATGGTATATTAGAACTATTAGTTTCAGAACCTAATAGTAATCTCACCTCTGCGAAGGTAAAACACCAAAAACTTTCATATTGTTGGGTAGATGAGCATTGATAGTATTTGCCATATTAATGCCATTTGGATCTCTGTTCCATGCATTTTCAGGGATCTCCATCTTCAACGAGATCATGGTGGCCAAGGAATGGACCTAGCAACATTGACGAGGGGCTGGCATCATATGCACAGAACACATTGCTTTCACAATACTATATTTTTAAGTCAAATGTGATCAAATCTGCAAAAGGAAAAATGAGACCACTGTGCCTTCATCATTATTTTAAATGGAACTACCAAAATTGGATCCCAAGTAAATGATGTTTTAATGCAATTTTATGAGAATGCATGGCAGTGTAGAAAACATTGTTTGAACTCAGACTCAACTCAAATCAGCCAATGAATTGAGTTGAGTCACAAAATACACGACTTCTGGATATGGAATGAAGTAAATGGAAGCAATCCTAAATCTAAACGTACTCCTTTGTCAGTTCGGCTACTTCTAGCCCAACCAACTTTATCTATATTTCCATAATTGCTGTCAATAATCCCACCAGCCTTGAAGATAGCTGTTTCCAGTTCTCCTTCAACAGCTACATGATAAAAAGCATGGCTTTAGTAGGAGGATCAAAACATGTGGCTACAAAATACAGCACAAAATGTACAATTTAATGCATTTAAACAACAGATAAAACAGTAAAGTAGATCCTCTATGTATAGGATAACACAAACATACAATCGTCCGACTATCCTGCCTGGCGATAGTCCAAACCATTGGTTTAAAAAACGGATCGGTGCCCAGGATCGGGCACCCCAAAAACCCATCCGGATCGGTGAATCCGTGTTACAGATCAAGAATCGGGCGGAATCGGTAATTTTTGTCTCAAAAAATCTTTAAAAAATCACTATAAACCTCTAAAAATAATGTTATTTTAATTTCTAAAAGAATTTAGGAGTTGTGCATTATGTATTTTCATTACTTTGTAAAAATAGATGATTATTGGGACGCTGTTTTTCTATCTGGATGTTTGTATAATTAAAATAAATATATTAATAAATAAAATATAAGACTTGGTTATCATTGTAATTAGTATAAACAGGGGTATGACCCTCACAAATAAATAAATCTAATAACAATTAGCGTGGATAGAAATATAAATTTAAAAATATAAATTTATAATAATATTTTAATAAAATTAAAAAGTAAATAAATAAATTCATACTTGCAATGTGAGGTAACTAGTTACAAACACTTTCATATTATAAGATTAAAATAATTAATTTTCCACATAAATTAGTATCACATCAAAGTATCAAACATTTATTAAATTGTTTTACTTATCCAAAATTATTACAATTAACTAACTATAATAATATATATTGAAATTGAAGTTGTTAGTTTATAAATTTATATTTTATAATTATTTTACAATACAAATAAAAATATAAAATGTCTTATAATATCATATAATTTAAAAAATCTTATTTATAATTATAAGAAAAAAAATACATTATTAAATTTATAATATAAATAAATTAATAAATAATATACAAGATTTAGTTATTAATAAACTAAAAAAAATTTATATTTACAATGTGGGATACCTGATAAAGCAACTTGAAATAAATTCTAAAGTGGTATGAGTTAGTATTATTTTTCTCTCTTAAAATATCCTCTACACTAATTTTTTTTAATATCCAATAGACTAGAATTGGTATTATTTTTTTTCTTTTTTTAATATCCTATGAGCTAGTACTAATTTTTTAATCCTAATTAACTAATTAATTAATTAATTAATTATTACTCATATAATGAAATAATCCCATGATATAATAGCTTAATAGAGTTTTTATGTTTTTTTGGTAAGTAAATTTAAATTTTTTTGGTGAAAGATAGGGGTGATGGGTACCGAATTATTATTTTAAATAATTTTTTTTTTATCGTCTAATTTAATTGCTGACATTGGACGTACAACCTTCTTATTCATGACAAGCATACACCGTCACACGTACACCATCGCGCGTACACCATCTCACTGCAATTTATCCCAAGCTAACAATATTTGGCAACCTTCTTATTCATGACGGACTGGTTTTTCAACTCACAGGAATTTGGGAAGCAATAGTCCTATAAAAGAAATCCAACCATCCTAATCACTTGATTGTTGTCTTGGTAAGGTGTATGGTAGTGCACGCTGAAGGTTGATGCTTGCCATGTGCATGTGCGGTTGCACGTTATACGCGCATGTGGGGGTTGGTCCACACTGACCCATGCTGACATAGGTAGGGTACAAGCTGACGCACGTTGATGCAGGCAAGTTGGGTCTTTAATTATAATGATTTGATTCGAACGGTTCACTGTACAGAACCGCTGACTCGGGCAGTTCTCTGTATAGAATCACCAATATCTTTCTAGAATCAGACGACTTACCGTGTTTTACTGGAATCGACACGGGGTAGCCGATTCCTGTATCGACTCAGGCGAGTCCGTTGCGACTCGCCATTTTTTAAAACACTGGTCCAAACTAATGTTGACGAAATTATGAATCAATGGCTATAATGAATGGCACAATGCTGCTACATCTTGAGTAATTGCCAACCTAACAACCAAAAGCCTTCCCCTCAACTAGAAGAGGAATTTCCTTTGGTAATTATATATAACCTTTATTCTAACTGTCAGGCTATGTTTGCATGAACATGGGCACTTGTGCAAATTTCAGAGACAGGCTGCTCGTGTCATGAAGAACAGAACTCAGAGACATGGTTATAATATAGAGAGACAACAAAACCCATCATTACTCAATAATATTCCGTTTCATGATGGGTTATCAAGAAAAATCATTTATTCATTTATGCCTCCCTTAGCTGAGTCTATAAATATTTCAAAGTTTCAAATGTGTCTACTCAAAGTAAAAAAGATGATCAAGTCAGTATAAATGCAGTAAATGGTCACTTACCAAAAAGAATGATCCATAAGAATACAGTCAATACACATTGATATGGGGGTAAAATCATGTCCGACATTTGAATGGAACACAAATAGAAGAATCCATGTAACATAGAAAATAGAAAATAGGTGATTTCAATTCCTGATCTTCAAGTGTTGGTCAGGTTACTTCCTAGCCTACAAGAACATGTTTGTATGCATTGATTGGGTCTGGAGTGGTGCCGCCTTCAGCTGTTCTGCTTTAACCTCCTAGTACGAAGAAATGTGATACATTTGCTATAATTCATGCCTCATGGAAAATCACATAATCATGATGCCCTATTAAACACTACATTAAATGCAAAAGAAGCTCAGTTTGTTGTATTTATTCAACCAAAAAAAAAGAGTTTGTTGTATTAACCAAATGTTATCTGAAAGTATTCAAATTTGATTTGAAGGCATATAGTGAGTTCAACTCTTGATATCACAATGTGGTTGTTGAGAGCTTTTTGCTGCTGCCCAAAAGTCCTTGCCCACCTTTGGATGCAATTTATCATCAAGACTATTGATCACAAATTAGATTTAGACATAACAAAAAACATGAAAACAATATCACATTGATCCTTTGCTATGCAAGTCTCCTACACCTAATGGGGATTCTTCGTAGTGCTAAGGTTTTCAGGTTTGCTGTTGAAATTGTAAAGTAATAGTGGTTAGGGTGGGCACATCATTTTCTAGGGAGTAATGAAATAAAAAGAGACCTTTCCAAAATTTCTTGCCATCAATACCAGCAACTAATCAATCTAAAAATGTCCACAATCATACGTTAATGAGTAAGGAGGGCATGTTAAAATATTTTGATTCATAAAACAAGTCAAATAGTACGTTAACAATCGACTAATACAAAAAACTCATATGCTGGAGAAGAAAACATTAATAAAATGAAATAATGGATTAACTAGTAACTAGTTGACCAAATTTGGTTGACTTTCAATAAGTATAAGACATTAGAAAACTTCATGAATGAAAGAATCATTACGAAAAATATCTGAAGTAGGAAACAGGAAATGGCTTGAAGTAAATGGGTGAATGAATGTGCACCATCAAAGGAGTAAAACAGTAATCTAGAATAGCCAGTTCATGATATGCTTCCCAATACCAATGTGATTAGTCAAATAAGAAACCAAACAACTACAACACTTAGTTGTATTGAACCTAAAGATAGCTTCAATCCAAATGAGAAATCTAAAAAAAATATTGAATTATGAAAACGTTCAGTGTAATTGTCCCACACCACGTCGATATTAATACTTTGCCAACAATCAACAACTCTAAAAAGCAAGCAAAAGACAAAATACAGAAACTCGAAACATTGACAATATATGCATGGCTATGATAATGAAAAAATGACAAATAATGTCCAGATGAAAGGAGAAAAAACAATGAGAAGAATATATCAATCACTGAATGTGGTCAACCGGAAAAGGGGAAGAATAGCAGTGCATTTCATATGCATCTAGACCTCAGATTCAATCATCAGAAGGTGAATGAACAACTGAGAGAGAGAGAGAGAGAGAGAGAGAGAGAGAGAGAGAGAGAGAGAGAGAGAGAGAGAGAGAGAGAGAGAGAGAGAGAGAGAGAGAGAGAGAGAGAGAGAGAGAG